GCCCCGCCCGCCTGCCCCCCCCCCCCCTTAGCTCTAACCCCACAACCCTCAACTCCCCTGCCAGAGCTGGAGAGAAACCAGGCATCTGGGTTCCCACCCCCTTGCTCTCACCCCCCAGCCCCCACTCCCCTGACAGAGAACCCAGGCATCCAGGCACCCTGCCCTCACCTGGGAGTTGGGGTCATAGTAGAGACCAGTGAGGGGGTCGTAGTAATAGCCCGAGGTCTCATCGTACTGGTAGGTGGAGACATCAGGGATGGCTGGGCAAGGGGGAGAAGAGGGAGGGGGTGAAATGAGGGAGCAAGGGCAAAGGCCCCCAACCAACAGCCAGTCCTGGGTGGTATTATACTCTGCTATTCCCACTCCAGAGCTGGACACATCTCAGCTCTTGCCCTGCTGTGTTATACCCAGCCATTCCACTCCAGAGCTGGCTGTATCTCAGCCCCAAGCAAAATTTTCTTATAAGCTGTTATACTCAGCTGTCCTTCCCCAGAGCTAGCTGTATTTCAGTGCCATAAGAGCCCTCCCTCTGTGGCACCATATGCAGCCATTCGCAAGTGTTCTACCCCAGAGCTGGCCACATCTCATCCCCAACCCTGGCTGTTGTACTCAGCCTACCCTAATGGATCCACTCCAAAGCTGACTGCATCTCGACCCCACACTGTGGTATCATATATAGCCATCTCCTTCATCCCAAAGCTAGCTGCATTTCAGCTTTGTGTGCTGTTATACTTGGCTGTTCCCTAGCTGGCCCACCCCAGAGCTGGCTGCATCTCAGCCTCAAGCAAGGTGCATCTTTGTCCCTCAGCCTTGCTTATGGTCAGCTGTTCTGCATCAGAGTTGGCTACATTATGGCCCCAGCTGGCCACATCTCAACCCTCCCTCTGTGGTGTTGTATGTAGCTGTCCCCCTCTCCCCAAGAGCTAGCTGCACCTTTGTCTTCTTGCGTGCTGTTATACTCAGGTGTTCCCCAGCCGCCCTACCCAGTACCGGCCAGATCTTGGCTCTAAGCAAGACTTCCTCATGGGATGTTATACTCAGCTGCTCACACCTCAGAGCTGGTAGCATCTCCCTGTCTGGTGTTATACTCAGCCATTCTGCTCCCCTATGCTAGAGCTGATCATATCACACCCTTCCCAATATCATGTTCAGCCATTCTACCTCAGAACTAGCTACGTTTCAGCCTTTTCTGTACAGTGTTATACTCAGCCAAACCCATCTGTTCTATCCCAGAGTTGGGCATAGCTGGGATCCCCAACCCACTGCCCCAGCCCCACCCCTGCACTCACGGTACTGGCCGTAGGGGTCGGGGCCACTAGGCAGGGTGCTGGGGGCGGAGGCTGGCTGGGCAGGGGCTGCAACCTCAGGCTTCAGCACTGCTGGGGAGACGATAGTGTAGGGCTGGGCCTGGGGTGAGGGGGGGAAAGGAGGTGCACAGTTGGGGTGGAGGAGAGAAAAATACCCCTGTCCCACACAGATCTCAGCCCCTGCCCCCACAAGTCCCATGACAAGGACCCTCCAACCTCAACATTACAGCAGGAACCCCTGCTAATCCACCAGATCCATGGCAGGGCCCTCGCTGACCCCAGCTCCAGGTCAGAGACATCTCTCAACCCTAAGCATCCCCCCAAACTCCCAGCCCCATGGCAAGGACCACCCATAGCCCCTCACTGCCCTGCAATCCTATGGCCAAGATCCCCCCAGTCACACACCCTCCAACCTATGGTAAAGACCCTCTCAGATCTCAGCCCCATGGCAGGCACCTGCCCCAGCCCTGAGCAGGAGAGGAAGCACAACCCTCCCCCACCCTGTGGCACAGACCCTCAACCCCATGGCTGACACCCCCATCCCATCAGCCCCATAGCAAGACCCTCCCACACCCCCCTCCTCCCCACAATGGCATAGGGGTACCTGGGTGGCAGCAGCGGTGGCACCAGGGGCCTCAGGGGGCTGCGGGTACAAGCCAGGCAGGGCTGGGGGTTGGCCAGGCCGGGTATAGGTCTGCAGAGCAGGCAGAGGCTCTACACCAGGCACTCCTGGCTCCAGCGACGTTTCTGCCCCTGCAGGCACAAGGCACTGTGGGTAGGACCTGGGCTCTAGCCATGGAAGGTGGGGTTGGGGACCAGGGGCTACAGCTGAGATCCCAGGCACCTGGGTTCCATCTCTTTGAGAGAAAGTGAGGCTGGGAGACTACAGCTGGGAGTCCAGATGCCTGGATTCCATCCCCTCTTGGGAAAAAAGTGGGGGCTGGGAAGCTACAGCTGGAGGCCTGGGTTCTCCACTTTGGCGGTGGAAGGGAAGGGGGCCTGGAGATGGGTACCCAATCACCTGGGTTCCAGCCACACTTGGGGAGATTGGGAATGGACAACTGGGGAGAAGGAGTTAGAGCTAGAAACCCAGATGCCTGCATTCTCCACCTGTTTGGGAGCTGGGGGGGGAGGCTAGGAGTAGGAGGGAATTCAAACACCTGGGTTCCACCTGCTTTTGAAGGAAAAAAGAGAAAGCTAAGAGGCTGCAGCTGAGAGCCTGGATGATTGGTTCCCCATTCAAGGAGGAAAGCCCTAGACATCTGGGTTCTCTCCTGTAGTGTAAGAAAACCGGGGTCTAGGTAGTCTTAAAGAAGAGCAGAGCAGAGGGGGCTGAGAGCCCAGACCCCTGGGTTCCAGTACTTCTTGGGTAAGGGTGCACCAATAAAGATTTTTTGGGCCGATACCAGTAGCCGATTTTTAAGGAGATATTTGGCCGATACCGATTCAATTTCCGATACACAGCTCAACAGCTTGAAAAGCAGCAACCAGCTGGTAAGTCTGTTGTGGTGGAAGGGGAGGGGGAAGGGAAGGGAAAGGAAGGGGCATGCAGGATGCAGATTGGGGGAAGGGAAGGGAAAGGAAGGGGCATGCAGGGTGCAGATCGAGGCACTTGTGGTAAAGTAGGGAGTGGGAGTGAGGCTGGGCCTGCCCAGCCAGGGCAGGGCACAGGATGCAGTTGCAGCTTGTCTGGGGAGGGCAGAGAAGGAGTGGGGTGGGGTCCTGCCACTGTGTGCACTCCGGAAGGGCATGGGGGATGTGTGTCCCCAGATCTGCATGCAGGGCAAGGGCAGGCTGCTGCTGGGCTCTTCCCATTGGGGACTGGGCTGGGCTGTGCTCAGGTCAGGCAATGGCAGCAGCGCTGGGAGGAGGGTTATGGGGGGAGGGGCTGCAGCCACCCCAAAATTTGCCGTAGCCCCCCACCCCCACCTGCCCC